AGAATTAATGGTAACAATAATAATAAACTCCTTTGGAGTGTAATGATTATTCATTACCAGTACACCAGTTCTGCAGCCTCCTCTTCCATCGGCTGCGTGACACTCTGGGCTATACTGCTTATATTGAAGAGAAACAATCAATAAGCACCATGCAGGCCTGGGCTTCGTGGGGTGCTAATTTCTCCGTGGCTGAGTTAGGCACACAGCCCCCTTTGCTCCATCTAACTCCATGTGCCAAACACAAAACCCACCCAATAAAACAGAGAAGTAAAGGAAAACATGTCTCCAAACTTCACCTCACGAGAATGGCGATGTCCTGGCACAGGAGGTACATGCTGTTGACAAGGGGACACTGGGGCTTTATAAGGAAGAGGAACTGGGGAATGTTCCTCAGCAGCCTTCATCTTCCAGCACTTTAAAGCTGACAAACCATATCCATACCCCAAATCCTTCATGGGACACTGGGAGGATCACAGCACAGGGTTGAGAAGCCACCGTTCATCTGAAGGGTCCCTTCTCCATCAAGAGTCATGGGCAAGAACCAAAGCAATGATTGAGCCCTCCAGAGGTAGCAAGAGGAGGTGGCACCCCTAATGGGATTAAAATGTCAATGGGAGGAGCTTTAACCACCTGAGAACCTGTGACTCAAGAGCTTCAAGTCCTGAAGCTCAATTTCTAAGCAGAACATCACACCTGGTCCCAAAGCTTTCATGGTCTGTTTCCATGTGCTTCCCATCAAGCCATCATCCTGCAGTCAGCGAGCTCCAAGGTCTTTCTTTCCAGCCTCTGAATATAATTCATTTAAGCTCTTATGAGGCAATTCATATCCAGATTTTATTAGAAGTGGAAGGTCCTTTATTTCCTCAGTGTATTGAGCACACAGAGCGCTGTGCTTAATTTTATTTCTGTGCTTTCTGTGTTTTAATAATGATCTCCCCAGTTATATTTGACTCTGAATAGATGGGGGAGATAGATAGGAGTTGGAATAATGTAATTATGTACTGCAGGCAGTGAAATAGTGGTAAACATTATGTGTAATGAATATGTGACTGGAGCAGAGACATGAAAGACTGCTTGAAGTTATCAAGTTATAAGATCTAAAAGCCAGGTTGGACACGGGGGCTTGGAGCAAGCTGCTCTAGTGGAAGGTGGCTCTGCCCATGGCAGGGGGCTGGGACTGGGTGGGCTTTAGGACCCCTTCCAATCCAAACCAGGCTGGGATACTATGAAAATGTGATACATCTGCACACAGAGAGGTATGTAAAGTGATGGAAATACGATTTTTGTCAAAAAATAATGTGCAAATACAATACACCCATATAGCATTTTCTCTCTTTCGCTGTCTTCCTGAAGCCAAATAAGATAAAAACTTATCAGAACAACGCCAATCTTCCGGTGACATTGGGTATTCATGTGTTGAACACCAGTAGGAGATGGCACACAGCTTCAAGCTCATACAGGCCAAGGCTTGTCCTCTTTAATACGTCATTGACATATTAAAATGACAGCTGAGCTCTCTATAGGCTGCATCCCATTCCTCCAGCTGTCTGTGGAAGCATCTCAAACCAGCACAAGACACTTCCACCACCAATTTTGCATCAGAGATTCTTCCAAGTGCATCCAGCAAGCTGAGAGCAGCCCCACTGATGGCAGCCTGAGACCCATGTAAAGGCAGCCAGACTTTTTAAGCCTTGATTAAAACCCAAGAAGGGATTTACTTACATTTTCCCACTATTCCTTTTACTGATGCTCACAGTTCACATGTTTTCATTAAACTAATGTGCTGCAGTTTCAGGGGGATGCAGATATTGAGACACCTCATGGGGTGTTTCTTACAAGCCAAGAAATTGGCAAATTAATATCCATCCATGCTGGATGCTGGAATCCCCTTGGCAGACTCAGGGAGAAACAATTGAAATAAATGGGGTTAAACACCAGACAATTTCCCTCGTGGTTTGGTTTTGGGTTTTTTTTCCCATGTGAAATCAGCTGTACCATCAGCAGCATCTCCACAGCTGGAAATTGCAGAAGCTTAATTTCTTGGAAGGCTCCCATTTTCCCCTGAAACTTGTGTATTGCTGGCTCCCTGTGCTCTGACCCTTCTTTTAACTGCCTATATCCTTCTGCCCCAAAGGGCCCAGAAGCTGAACAGGAGCATTGTTTTTAACAAGATGCTGAGCAATTCACTTAAACAGAAAGACCTATCCAGCTTCTCCCAGTAATTCTCTTAAAGTGGGAGGTTAATGCAATTCACTGGAGTTGCCCTTCATCACTTAGAGAGGGAAACGAGTGTTGAACATCCCCAGGTGAAGTGATTCTAGCAGAAACCCTCCTCCTCCTCCCCTATCTTCCCTGGCCCCTTCATCCCCAAAGGGATGCCACATCTCAGCACTGTATGATCATCCCTCTCAAGGCTGATTAGCCAGAGCTGGAGTTCAGGGAGGTGAGAGCATCAGCATCCTCACAGCGATGTTTGATTGCCGATGGCTGCGAGTGCTCCCTATTAGCCTGGAAGCGCTGCCTCTGCTTCACAAACACCTTAAAAATGAAGTTTAACAAAAAACCAGATGTGTTGCCTTTCTTCAGCCCTCTCCCACCATATCAAAGCCTTCGAGAGTAGCTAAGGACAACTTTTATAGCTGAGGAGGGCCCATTTGAGCATCAGCTTGTTAGTGCCTTGGCTATGCTGCTCACAGAGCATCCATCAGCCCACAGTGCTGGCCCTGCTTCCCGAGAGCACTCGCTGCATATCAGCAAGAGGATTAGGCTGTGAAGTTCACCTCCAAGGGAATCACCAAAGGGCTTTCAAGCAGAAAGGTCGACTGGCTCATCTGCTTCCAGAGGAGCTGATGAGAGACAACTCATTTCAGGAGCCATCACTCCCTGCAGCAAGTCCATCCTTCCAACCTTGTTCTGCCTCCTTTTGCTGTAATGATCTGCAGCTCATCGGAGGGGGCTCAGTGGGGGTGAACAGCAGCAGCACATGTTTTAATAAATAATACCTGTGAGCTGGCTTTTAAGGCTGCAGCTTGGTGAGGGATCTGCTAAAGCACCAGGAAGGAAGATTAAGGTGAAAATGTGTGCCCAAGGAAATGGCTTGGATGCAGTCTTGGCATGCAGGAGGTGATGGTGGTGCCTCACTGTGATGGGTGGTACCCATCCTCTCCATTCCTTCTGCTGTGATTCCCTTGGGGAATGAGGGAATCCTAAAGCTCATCCGGTTACAACCCCCTGCCATAGGCAAGGACACCTTCCACTAGAACAGGTTGCTTCAAGCCCCATCCAACCTGATCTTCAACACTGCCAGGGATGGGACAGCCACAGCTTCTCTGGGCACTCTGGGCCAGTGCCTCAGCACCTTCACAGTGAAGAGTGGATGTTTCTGCATCAAGGTTTTGGGGCAGTGCTGCTCAGCTTCAGCGTATTTCCAAGGACTGGCTGCATTCTTGGCTCTAAGGGCTTACAGGGGATCAGCTCCAGCCGCTGCTCAAGTCAAGGTCCATACAAATGAGAAATCATCACTGACATGTTTGCATAACAGAGAGTTAAGGGAAGCATTTGCACTGGGAAACAGGAGGAATATCTTTAGTTATGGGCTACAGCAATTTAGCATGACTGTTAAACACATCTGATGAAAGCAGTGCCAAATACGTTGGCAAGCGTATCCCTACCAAAATCAAAACGCTTCATAGCATTAACCCTCCATTAATGATTTTGTTTTTCAGCTATAAAAAAAGGCAGAGGGGGAATATTCTGAAAATAACACAGTTCCATTTTTATTCATTTCCAAACAGGCCCTTGCTTTCCAACACATTTATTTTACATTATTGTTTCTCATGGAGCTGTGAAGAAATTAAATCCTTGAAAACTGAACAAAACACATAAATTAAACCAAATGCTTTGATTAACGCAAAACAACTGACATTTCCTTTCCTGAGTAATCTAAACATGAAACTCAGAAAACCAATTTCTTGCCTGAGCAGCCTCTTTAAAAGGGAATGGTTGGTATTTTGTAACTCTTCTGTATTAGGTGGACTGCTGTCAGCATCTGATTCTTTTGAAGTTAAAACCACTCTGAACCCACTGAAACTCCAGCTCGGAGCTATTTTGGAGCAGACATTTCTTTCCAGCTCTTTCCTATAACCTCTTACACAGAAAAATCCCTGGTTGTTCCTGGAATTTCTTGACAAGGGTATAAATAGCTATTTAAATTATAGGGATTGCATACATAATGTGTCTGATCTTTAAGGGAAAAGTATAACTACAGTGGACCACATTTTTCCCTCCATCCATCACTTTTATGGAATAAAACCACACAGGATTTCTCCATGGAAATAACCTGGTTTTGAAAGGAAAATTAATGTAATTTGCATGGGTGAGCACTTCTCTTGTTAAGCAGATTTTTGTTAGATTCTTTCACACAGCTATATTAAAACAGAGGAAAAAACGAGCTTCTCTTTCTCTGAATGCTTTCTGGTACTGCAGGAAATTGTAAAACACATTCACTGGGAGCCAAGAGAGGAAATATTGTCCCACAGGCAGGAAGAGGCAACCACAGGCATGCAAAGAGAAGCTGTGTTGGGTGACATGAAGTCCACCTGCAGCAGGACTCCATGCCCTAGAGCCAGTCTTTCTCTCCCTATCCCGCTGCAAGAGGGAATGAAGCTGATTTACTGGCCCATACTTGAATCAAAGGGGAACCCTCAAGCTTCTGAGCGTGTCCATCAAGAGATCATTAGAATCAGCCCGCAGTGATTCTTGCACACAGGCTGAATGGGAAGGGACTTGTAAAGTGGGAGCAGATGTGCAAAAACCCAGCCAAGCCGGGCAAGCATCCCAAACATCTGCTCCATTAAAGCAGGCAGAGGTTTGGCAGTGAGAGATTTACATTGTGAGCTTCGCTTGGGTTGTCTCCTTGGAGGGAATCAGCTGAACAGCAGCAGGTTGGACTCGTCTTTTGTGTGCTTAGGTACATGGGTGAGCATGGCAGGAGGAGGGTATCAGAGACACTCTGTCTTAAACTTCTGCCTCAGGGCTTTCTGCACGTTCTGTATCTTCTCCGTGATGACTGTGTCACTGAGGTGATCTCCAAACTTCTGCTTCAACAGCACCCGGATGATTTTGATGCAGCGTTCATCCATCATGGGCTTCGCCTCTCGGAAAGTGTTGCCCCTGCGGCCCGTGATGGAGTGGCTCTGAATGTAGTCGGATGTGAAGAGCTTGTAGAGCAGTGTCTTGCAGGCAGTGCTGATTTTCTGGTCAAAGCGGATGGTCTCTTTGAGCTGTTCCTTGGTGTAGCCATTGAAGAGCTCCACCACCTCGCATGGTTGCCGGTGGGGCTCCTCCTGGAAGGACAGGGATTCCAGCCTCTGCACCTTCTTCTTCAGAGAGAGGACATCCTGTTGGAGGTCCAACACCATCTTCTCCAGCTGCTCTATCTTCTCCATCCTGAAAAGTTAATGTTATATGTCTAAAGGCAAGAAGACACTGTGGCCTCACCATGGACATTGCTAAAGGGTGTGACACCTCCAGCCAAACAGGGACAGGACAACTTCTCTGTCACAGTGTCATCCCATCCAGCTATGCCTGGGTGAGGAGCCAGGCAAGAGAGAAGAATGACATGGTCTGGACTTTTCAGTAGCTTAGAAATGATCAGTTTAACCCTCAACCCCTCCTTGTCATGCACGTATGGAGGCCTTGATATTGAGCCTTCTTCTCAGTTTTAAGGATAGTTATAAGCCCTGTCTTGCAATCCCCAAGAGGCAGATATATGTGGCACGAAACGACACCCAGGAAATGACAATGCAGTACTGCGAGATGATTTTTTGACACCTATTTCTTTGCAGGAAAACTGCCCATCACTGGGTACTTATCATCAGAGTAATGAACAATAAAGCAAGGAACAACACAATCATGTTCAGACACGATAGATGTCATTTTGGTTGTTATAGGCACGAGCTTTGGGCTTTCTGCACTGTTTTAGAGCCTTCTTGCATCTCTAACTCCTACAGTCTGAAAGAGAATCCTGGCTCTGATTACATAGTGATTCAGCAGCTCTTGGTTCTAAAATAACACCATTTTCTCACCCAGCTGTGGTCTCACTGCTCTTTGTTGTAGTGAGGAGGAAAACACAGTCAAGAACAAGTGCCTTCTTTAGCTAATCACCTTTCCACTTCAGCAGGACCAAAACTCTTCTGAACTCTCTCAAAGTCATCTGTCTCTTGTAAAGCATCGAGCTTGAGCTCCTCACAGCTGGAAGAAACAAGCAAGGTAAAAAGCACTGCCACAGAAAGCTTCATGCTCCTATTCATTCCCAAAGAGAATTATCTGTTATTCAAAGGTTGGAATTCAAGGCAGTTCCGTCTTCATTTACAGCAAAAATGAAATGGATGGAGAGGAAATATCAGTGGTTCTTCCTGTGGCAACCTCTTGTTCACCCCTCTTTACATGCAGAGCAAGCCCTGGATCATGGACACTGCGGACCTCCCATTTGACCCACCAAGGGATGAGGATTCTGGAGTACAAGGGACTCAATGGCTCTGCAGTGTGTACACACACAAATTCCCTTTATCTTTTGCACTCTGGGTTTAAGTCTATATTAGCATCTATTCAATGTGAGCATGACCAGGACATGAAAACAGAATGGACGGAACCCACATTATGAAATGAATATATATGGTGTGAAACATTCAGGGTCCTCACCGTGCCTTCAAGCAGTACCTGTTCAGGCAGATGTGTTGTTGGCACTGGGACAAGGTGCCATCTGACTTCCTCTTCATCGGCAGGGCAACGTAATCTACATGCAGGGATGGGAAACAAGCTGTTGAGAAGGTCCTGAATCCCTCTATCTCCAGAAGAGATTATCTACGCACTGCTGCTAGATTGCATGGCAACACATTATTCCCTTTGCATAAACAGTGATTCAGACATGCTTGCCAAGATTGAGCAATGGGGATTGCGTTGCTGGAAAACGGTGGTATTTCAAGGGTTCTTCTTCTGTTCCTATCACAAAAGACATAGCGGGCAAGGCAAGCAAAGCCAGTGCAACTCTGGACACCGCCGTTAGCCAGCAGGAAGGTAATGCAATAGTGTATTTTTATAAGCACATTTAATGTATGTAATAGTGGATAAAGCAGGGAAATAGGCAAATCTGAGAAGGTTTGACTAATGGAGACACAAAGCTTTGGGGTATTTCACACTCATTCAGATAGGCTAGATTGTTTTTTAGCTTGTGGAGGAAGAACTGCTAACCTAGGAGACAGAACTGGTGCCTTATAGTGTAGAAAGCATATGCTTCCACACAGCATGTCTCTTTAGACAGCCCTCCTGTAGGAGTTATCCTGCATGGAAAGGACCATAGAACGTCATCTCTAACCTTTGTAGCCCTGGGAGAAAGCACACAGAGCCCTGGAGCAAAGCAGCTCTGCAGGTCCCCATCCCAACCATCAGGATAAGGCAGGAGAGAGCTGAAAGCTAATGTCCTAATTTACAGCCACGGTTACCTTTAGTAGCTGGACCAGCCCCATCCTCTTCACCCTGGGAGGTCCCTGGCATGGCCACGGTGACAAACGTGGATGGAGGTGTGAAGGCACTGGCTGGGTGGGGGGATCCTGCCAGTGAGCAGGACCTTCCTGCTGCTCCATTGCCCAGGGCACGTCTCTCCTTGATGATGGAGGAGCTGCCAGCATCATGGGGCAGGCTGGCCTCAGCCGCCCTCAGCAGGGGTTTTGCAGGGTAGGTCCTGTCGCTGTGGTATTTCCTGGGTGCATTCCCTGGGGTCCATTTTGGGAAGGTTTTCCTGGATTTCTTTGGCTGGGGTGGCATCATGCTATGGACGGCCGGTTCTGCTTCTGAAAGCAAGGCAGACAGCCAAGATGCGCCATGGGGTAACAATGGTGGGTATCTCCCACCTCCCACCCAATGCTTGTTACCTTGATTGCCGTGATGTGAAATATATGACAGGACTACAACACAGCATCCTCCCATCCCAAAATCCCAACGGAAGAAGAAAGGTGCCGCCTTCCAAAACCTTACTCACTCAACTTCTCCAGGAACTGTCTATCTTCCAGCAGCTTCTTCTCCAAAATATCTTTATGCTCTGTAGGAAGAGAGGATTTTTCAACACTGAACTCCTCTAAAGGTTGCTCCTGAGCAGCCCCACATTGCAAAGCCTGGGACAGAGGGGTCTCACTCACCACTTATACCTTCCACCATGCCCCAGTAGAGCCCACTGAAGCCGGGGCAGCGGGCCAGCACTTGCTCCCCCACTGCATAGAGGTGGAAAGGCTTGCGGGGCTCCTTGATGTTCTCAATGTTGATCACCCTGCTGCCATCGGGCCAGCTGATGAGGACGTAGAGCTTGGTTGACATCGGGGCTGCCCACCTAGTGCAGGGGAAGGGTCACAGCATGGCTTTGTGCTCTCCCGTAGCTGGGAGGAATAGCAAGTGATGCTCTACCTAGGAAGTGCAGCCTATGGATATAAAATACTTGTCCCTGTATCTTTTCCATCAGTTATTTCTTCTCTCTTGCCCTCCTATGCTTGCCTTGTCCTAAACCCCTTCCCTGGGAGGCTGACCTAGGCACAGGCTTTAGTGTGCCCCAGTTTAATTAGAAGAGGGCCTGCATCTCCAGCCATGACCTGTGTCACCTGGGGAGAGCCAGGACCAGCTCTCACACAGGATGCGTTGGGATAAGACACTGGATAAGCCACTGAGTTGGTTTCTGTGCCCATGTGAACCAGCACGGATCAATTGACTTTAATAGGTCTATAGCAATTTCCTGCAGCACAGGACTTTACCTGTATGATATCCAGGCAGTACAGAGAAGAAGAGCCAGCAGTATTCCAGGAAATGACCATTCCTTTGCCTGCACAGTTATTTTCCCCAGTAAACGTCAAAGTACTTTGATAACAAGGGCAGCAAATTACTACTATTACACACATGGGGAAACTGAGGCACGGAGCAGTGAAAGACACATCTAAAGCAGCCAAGTAGCTAAACTGCAAGGAGCTGGCATCCTGGGTCCCACTGAGATACCCTGTTTCCACCTTGCTGAGCATCACCCCAGGCCATCCTGCTCTGCTCTGCAGCAGGATGGGGCTGAGCCCTGTAAGGAGAATGGCCCTGGTGTCCAAAGCCAATGGGATGGAGCAGGGACAAGCTGGCAGGAAGGGCAGCTACAACCTAATGTATTGAAGTCTCTTGCTTTGCCTCTGCACCCCCATGAAAGCCTGGGTTTAATCCCTCTCACTTGGGAGGTTCAGTTCACCCTGGAGAACTTCCTCCTTCTGCTTTTCCCCCTCCACCATCCCCAGCATCTACAGCAAAGCTCCTTGCGAGGAGCCGTCAGCCTGCTCTGCTGGCACAGGCTCAGCCCTGGCTCGCTCCAATCCTTTTCTCTTGGCCAAAACACACTCTGGGGTTTATTCTCATAACGAAGCACCATGTACAAATTAATTGTGTGGTAGCTGCCTGGCTCCCCACATCCCCTTCCCTGCTGCCGGTGCCCTGCAGCATCTCTGAGCCCAGGGAAGGTTACACACCAAGACAGTGGGATAAAGGCAGAGCTGAGACATCACCCTCCCGAAACACAGCTCTGTTTAAAGAGCACCATATTCCAACCAGCACACAACAACCCAGCCCCAACAAGCTCTCCAGAGGGGGTTTTCACCACGTAAAGAAACCCCACCGATCTTCAGAGCTGCTGCTGCTCCCTCCTGCCCCACTTACCAAGTGCTCATTCACCTTAACGAACACAACAAACCCACACAAACAAGAGAAAGAAAGAGATATCAAAACCCTGATAGCGACCGAGCTGGGTCCTTGCCTGGTTCTCCCTGCTCCAGGTGCTGAGTCTTGCAAGATGTCTCCTGTCTATCCAGGTCCCAGCTGCCTGCTCCAGGAGAGGAGGTGATCGGCCACTTCTTTGCCTTGGGCTTGTCCCTTCACCACAGTTCCTTGTCAGGTCTCCTTTGTCTGGCTTAGAAGGCTCCCACCTGCAGTCCCCACTGCAAAGAGAAGACCCTTTGCTTTCTTTTCCCCTCCTTGTTTTGTTTCAGCATTGTGATTCCTGTTATTTTGCCATATACATCCATTTCCCCCCCCCCCTCCCTTTATCTTGTTTCAGGTCTGTTTCTTACAGGGAGACAGAGCAGAAGAGAAGAGAAAAAGCCTTGGGTTTTTTGGAGCATGAATAAACCTTGCATTTCCATGAGTTATTCATGAATAATTCATGAAAATGCATGATTAATTCAGGTTCATGAATTATTCAGGAATAATTCTCGAACATTCCTGGTTAATTCATGCTCGCACAGCGAGTGAGTCAGGCTCTAGGGCTTGGTGAATTCTTTTCTCCCTGAGACAGGAGAAGAGAGGCTGAGATGGCTGCAGTGTGGGCTTCCTGCTTGCTGCATCCGAGAAGGAAATGTATTTTAGGCCCTTTTTGAAACCAGGATTTGAAGAAGAGAATTTAAATGCCTGCAGCATCCTGGCCACGGAGGGATAACAGCACCAAAAGAAAGAGAAGGAGAGAAAGAGATTGGACTTGCTTCCAGAGGGAAGCCCAGCAGCACGTTTTCCTAGATTGCAAAGCATCTTTCAAAGTGACTGTGCATTTCTTTATCAGCAGCCTTCCAGTAACTAAAAAGGGGCTACAGGAAACCTGGAGAGGGGCTTTGGACCAGGGCCTGTAGGGACAGGGCAAGGGGAATGGCTTGAACCTGCCCGAGGGGAGACTGAGCTGAGCTCTTAGGCAGAAGCTCTTCCCTGTGAGGGTGCTGAGGCGCTGGCACAGGGTGCCTCATAGAAGCGTGGCTGTAGCACTGATCTGTCCATGGGAAGGGGTCTTCTGGTTGATCTGGCAGCCAAGAGGGAGCATAGTGTTGGAAACCATCACCAGTGCTCACAGTGTGCCATGGTTGGACTGGACACCAGCAGGCAGAGCACTGGGACCATCTGCAGACCTGCCTGCCCAGACAGACATCCAGCTCTGCATGAGATGGAAATAGAGCCAGGGAGTGAATCTAAACAGCTCTTTCTGCTTTGGCTTAGCCAAAAGCCCTGGAGGCTGTTGGGAGAAAAGGAGACTTCAGATGGGCAGGGAGATAGTAGAAAGGGACCTCTATCCTATTCACAGGGTACGAAAAACGTCTTTATCTCTGATTTGCAATATTTACAGCTCAAAGAATACATCTGTCAGCCCAGGGAGAAGGAGATGTTAGCTGGAGATCCAGCTGAGATAAAGCATCACAGAAGACACAAATATACAAGAAGGAGTATCTGAATTCTATGTAGGTTTGAATGATGCTGAAGAATGAGAACTGCATGGGAAGAAGAAATGGAAAAAGCAATGATGAAGGGAAAAATATTAGAGATACATGACAACAGAAGTGAGATTGGATTCTGGGTTTATGCAGGACCTGGTTCCAATCCAATCTGCTTGCTTAAACAAGCATTGTTTGCTTCCCTTGGAAGAGCCAACAATATGCAAAGAGCAACAGATGGGTAATCCTGGGAGTAGAGGTGGGCAGCTCAGCCACAGGAGAGGGAAGATTGCAGTGGCCACAGGAGGAGGACCAATTGTAGCCTCATCAAACAACAGAAAAGTCAAGCGTCCGTGTATAAATATACAGTGTTTGTGTTGAATTATTCCAGGCAAATGGGAGTCTGAAGTGAATCCCAAGTGTTTGACTCCATGGAAATTAGCAAGCCCTGATTAGATTTTCCTCTCTGTGTTTGAATACAAAATCCCTTGCCAGGTGCCTGCTTGCAGGCTCTATGTAGAATCACTGTTTTCAGGAACCTTTTCTTTGGGAACAAACCCCATCCCTGTCCCCAGTGCCAGCACATTTCCCCCTCCAAGCTGCACTTGCTGAGATTGAGATCTCAGCTGCGACTAAGGAACAACAATAGCGTCTTTGTAATCTTATCTAGAGATAAGCATTAGGGGAACCGTGTTCAGCATCTGTTTGAATGCTGCCCTGTCTTTATCAGGACAATCATAAGTGTTGTTTGAAGGGATTTGAATAGCAAACACAGGTGGTTTTAATCTCCCTTTGCTTTTTACCTCTGACAGTTACTCTTCAGCAGGCACAGCTTCACCACTTCAGAACGCAGCCATAGCTCAGTAGCTGGGGGATGAGAGGTACATCACTCGTTAATTGTGTCCCACCACAATGAAATGACATGGGAACCATCAAACACTCTGATTCGGACCCAAGAACAACCCCTGCAATCCTCCATGCTATAGGGAGGGGGTCCAGGGTTACACACCATGCATCAGGAGGAGGGCTCAGCACGGCCAGGACACACAGCCAAGCTATAAGGACAGAGACTGGTGGCCCTTGCCACCAGTCCCCTTGGGGATGATGGAGTCATTAGGATGGATCTGGGTCATGGTTTTGCACAAAGGCTGTAGCATAAGTCACTGTCTGTACCAGAGAGCGACCACCTGGTGGCATTTTGCATCTTTAATGAAATAAGAACAAGTCCCATCTCTGCTTACGATAGAAGGAACATACAATGTGATCCAGGCTAATGAGGCTGGAATTAACTGCATTTTAATTATAGGCTTGTCTCTTCCCTAATAAGCGAAATTATCCAGAAATGGGGAGCAAAGCATCAATCTCAGGTCAGCAGCCAGCTAGGCCGGTACACGTAAATCCTGCTTAGCTGCAGTCTGTTCAATGCTTTCCTAGATGGGAGCATTTCCATATGATTCCTTGTGTGGCAAAGGCCATAAAGCAACGAGGATATCAGAGTAAATGCACAAGGCACAGCTTTGTAGGGTTGCAGAGCTGCAGAGACCGCGTGTGCTCCTGCAGAGAGGCCACAGACCCAGCAGTGCTTCACATTTACCAATATGAAAGTTATTATTCCTTCTGTTTTATTGCCCTGAGTTCATCACAATGTTTTATGGAGGCCAAGGTGAGTTTTTTCCTCCACAAAAAAGGGTTTCCTCTTTGCAATTGCACTCCAACATCCTTTTGTTTTCACCTATTCAGCTTCCCACCGTTTCACAAAGCCTTTTCTCCTGAGCTCTCTGTATTTATCTGACCCTTGCACTCTACAGCATCTGTTTCCTTATCTGCCTGCCTGGCTGGCTTCTTTGTGAGCTTGTCAGGGAGATGGCATGAGCACAGTGAGCAAGAAAGGGAAAGGAAGCCCAGTGTATCAGGTTGGAAGTGCTTCTGATCTACTTCAAGATGTCACGCTCACTGCAGGGGGTTCAGACTAGATGAACTTTGAAGGCCCCTTCCAACCCAAACTATTCCACGATTCTATGATCATCCCACAAGAGAAAGGAACAACACAGCAAGAAAGGACATGGAAAACTCATCTCCTCGCATCACCTCTTGGCACCACATCCCTGGGGACTCATCGCCCTTTTCCACACCATTCCTGGATGGAAA